GACCCCCCCCCACCCGTGGGACTAATGTTTTAGTCTAAGCCGGGGTTTAATTTAGTTAAAGGAATATCAATAAGAGGTTTGAGGCTGTTTTTTTTTCTTAATATGACACACTTATTGATTTTTTTTTAATCCATCGCGTTCATGACTTGTTTTGATTTGTTTGAATTTTTTCAGAATTTTTTAAAATTATCCCTTGCTATTGGCTCAATTTAAATTGACAGGTATTGTTAATCATTTGATTTGTCTTTATGTTATATTTGTAATAAAAAAACAATAATCAAAGAAATTTTTAAATAAAGATAAATATTAAGAATAAAGAAACAATAACTGAAGGAACATACTAAAAATTATATCCATACAGCAGGAAAAATGAGAGATAGGATGTTGGATAGACAGTTAATTCTAATAGGCCTATAACAAACTAAAAACGTCGAAATTATTAAATCATTCTAATAGCTATAATTAACATTATATCATTAATTTATGTTGTCTAATATATGTAATTTAATAACAATTAAATTCAAATGCGACTTACTGTTTTTCCCAGTCTCTGTGATTCTGTACTCAACACCTCTGTACCTCTGCAATCAACAGTTCGTCACTTTAAAGTCATACAACCTAATAAATCATAGGCCAATCAATCTATACTGTCTCCACATAGAGTATAGCATTAGTGTATGTAAGCATGGCCTTTTTTTGCGTCATGCAGCACAGATCAAATGGTAGGCGCGGTGACACATTGTTTTGGTTGTGTTTATTCAAGCCTGACTAACATAAACAAGTTACTTTACGCACGTGCACGTGCATCAATGATTGGGTTGTTTTCGGCTTGTTTCTGTTCATTGAGTCTTGTGCGAATAGATAAAATCTGGGGTGGCGTCAGGATTTGCCCGACGAGTGGGTAGGGAAGGGGGAAGGGGTGGGGTGCGGGGGGACGATGTCCCCGACGAAAAAAAAGTGAGCTTGGTCGGGCGTCGCTCAAGATCTCTCGAACGTTTTCTAGGAAATCCCGGACGAAGAAATAATATGCGGTGGAATGTACTGTCTCTGACCACGAAAGCTAAGACCGAAGAGTTAAGACCACGCACGAGATATCAGACCCACTTGAAATATCAGACCCCGTAAATTAAGACCCTCAACTAAGTATGCCAGGATTTCTAGACAATAATACCTTTATTCGAAAGCTAACGTCAATATAAAGAACTGACTAATCATAAAATAAACACCATTAAAGTATCATCGATACCAGCTAGCCCCTATTTGCGACGTTTACTGGAGAAAAAAAAATACAGTACAAACAAACCGGCTATTCGCACTCCACGGAACCGTACGGTACGGTTTCGGTACGTTTTCGTAGCGGTTTCTAAAATGCGCACGTCTATCGTGGGAATACTGTCTATGGAACGCCGTTAGTATCTTCGATTATGTGCAAACACTCTATTATGTGCAATCGCCATGACGTTATGCGGAATGATCATGACGTTATGGGATTTGGTCATGACGTTTTGGGATTTGGTCATGACGTTATGGGATTTGGTCATGACGTTATGTGGTTTGGTCATTATGTTATGTGGTTTGGTCATGATGTTAGGCCTATGTGGTTTCTCATTATGTTATGAGGTTTGGTCATGATGTTATGTAGTTTGAACATGATGTTATGTGGTTTGCACATTATGTTATGTGGTTTGCACATTATGTTATGTAGTTTCGACATGACGTTCGAACGTCAGCGTGAGGAAGAGAGAAGACTTGTTTTTACATTATGCGTTGATAGGTTTTTACATTATGCGTTAGAAAATGTTTTGACATTATGCGTCAAAAGTATTTACATTATGCGTTAGCAAAATTTGTTACATTATGCGTTGATTTTTACATTATGCGTTATTTTTTTACATTAAGCGTCAAACCTTTTTACATTATGTGTTAACCATTTTTTTTTACATTATGCATCGTTTTTACATAATCGGTTGTTACAGGCCTAAGTAACAAGTAAACTAATTGGGAGGTGTAATATTATACAGTAGGCCTAATTGGTAATCAGTGTGAGAAGCATTAAATAATTGATAGGCCTAGTTCATAAATGTTAATAAGCAGAAATCATCTTAACACATGGTACTAAATGGCAAAGAAACATTATATTCTAGTTAAACACTTTACCTTTCATTTACTAGATACCAGCAAGAAGAGAACACGCGGAGCTTCAATTCAGAGGTTCGTGTGTTTTACAACCTTTATTTTTTTAATTGTGGTATAGGTATATGGTGCAGTGGTTCGAAGTTGGTGTGCTATCGAAGCGCTGCTTGATGGGATTGCCATTTTTATTAATAATATTTGGTTCATGTTTCAAGAGGAGCACATGTTATTACATATTCTCATTTATTTTTACAGCAAGAACAATACTGCTCCATGAGGTAAAATGATGGCTGACAGATCTTATAGAAACTTTACAAATTACTCTGCTTATTATTATACTGGTTTGGACAAAGTTATTATCCGCATCATTATGCCGATCGTGGTCACCATAGGTATCATCGGCAACATAATGACAATTATCGTGATTGCAAGTAAAAAATGCAAGTACACATATTTTAACATATACCTTGCAAACTTGGCAGTAGCTGATACTTTGTACTTACTAGTGGCACCTACTTGGATTTGGAACTCTTATGTTAAAAGTCCGATACATTATGTTTATGACATGGGTGAAGGGAGTGATTGGTTTTGTCCGTTCTTTTTTTATACAATTGGAGTAGCGACAACAGTCGCACTTTTCACAATTTTTTGGCTGTCCGTTGAACGTTATATTGCAATTTGCAAACCATGGAAGTTCAGAAAAAGCGGATTTGGAATTAGTTCAAGATCTATAAAGATCTGCGGCATCATCTGGCTCTTAGGCTTGTCTTTGATGGCAAAGCATCTCACCTTATCTTCTACAAAATTAATTGTTGAAGGTCTAAATTTTACAAGGTGTGAACCTAGTGAACTGCATTTCAACATTTTACTGTTCGTAGAACTACCTCTAATCATTTTAGCTGTCATAGTCGTGGTAGTTCTTTATACATTGATGCTGATCTCATTACGAAAGGCACTTGTTATTTCAGCTAATTCGACCGTAAAGAAATCCAGATCTAAATCGGAAATGAAAATTTTTCTGACATTAGTTGTGACTGTCATTGTTTATATTGTTGGTATCTACCCAAAATATATATATAGGTTATTGCTCAGATATGAAATTGCAGACAACATTTCAACAATGACAATCTTTGACCTTATGTGTATCATAAATTCGTCGGTGAATCCGTTGATATATAATGTAATGAACGACACCTTCAGACTAGCTTTTCGTGACGTATATTGCAAAAGATGTAATAAAAGGTGAATTCTGTTAGCAGCGGCTGCCGCCGAATTGAGAGGAGGCAGAGGGGCCCGATGGGAATCCTCGTCGGGGAAAATGCAATTATTTCGACTTGCAACACTGCTGTTAAAAAAACTTTTTTGCAGTATCAGGGTGCCATTTAGCATATAGAGGTGCATATTCTTTTTTAAACCCCCAGTATGGACGTTTAAAAACATCTCGTCTTAATGAGACTGGCCTATAGTATGTGTATTCATAATGTAATTTATTTAGGAATCGCTTAAAAAGCATCTTTCACTATTTTACTGATTAAAATTGCTGTATAATACTTCCTTATTAGCTGCTATCACGACTCGCAGATAAAAATACGACAATAATACTTTCACTAAGAAAAAAGCAAGAATAATAAAATTGTAAGTTATGCACTGATATAGAATGATAAATTTTACTTTAGTATGCTATTGTCAATGATATTTTAAAAAAATCCAAATACTTTTAAATGTCATAAGTTGATGTCTTTTAATGACTGTACTCTTGTATGTAATGCATACAAAATATCTGTATTTAGCGTGCTCAAGAAGATGTGATTTACTTCTCCCGCTTTATGAAATGTTTTATTTTAATGTTATAAAAGGGCCAAGGCCTAAATGCACATTAATCTCCTTGGGGTCTAGGCTGACGAACGAACCAACAAACATATCAGCCTAACACAATTCGAATCTCTAAGCCCATGTATTGTATTAAATTTAAATATCTATTCCAATATGCTGTCAGGTTTTATCTGCATCAAAAAAATGACAAAAATGTCTTCAATGAATTATCGAAAAAGCAGTTTTTAGAGAAACTAGAATAAAATTATTAGGTCAAAAATTGATGAAAGTATGTTCATAACAAAAATTAGATTAATTTTAATGTTTTAGTTTCCTGAAAAGCGCTGCCAGTCTCACTACAATCTTATTATTGTATTGTCAATTTGTCTCAACAACATTGGCCGTATTCGAATGGTTGATTTTCGTTAAAAGCATATAGGCCCTAGCTGGTTAAAACACGCCTGCCTGACTCAACAAATGGCTGCCGCGTAGTTACCACGATACACACTAAGATAGTCAAGTTTACTTCGGCTAGTGGGTTTTATTATAAATTATTTTTATGTACTTATGGAATTCTGTTAGCCTTATTTATTATGTGGGCAATTATAAATTTATGAAATTTAATCTAAATTCTATTTAACGCAAATATTTTTGTAAAACTGACTAATCGACCATATTTGTTTTTGTCCCATGAATAACTTATTGGATGAATAACGCACTCTGCCGTACGTTAATTTGCGTTTTCAACGAAGTCTATTTTACATTTTACGAACAAGCCGAATAAAAATCGTTGTATCGAAACAACCAATCGAATACGGCCATTTTAAAGACACAGATCACAAAAACAAATCATTTTACGCTGATTTCATTAACTGTTTTCGGCGGACGACGTAAACGTTCCCAAATACTCGCGAGTTATCTGGATGTTTTGGGTTCGATTCCCACCCTAATCACCTGCGATTTTTTTTTTTCGCGAGCTGAGTATTCGGTACGAAAACGCGTCAGGTAGGGCAAAACATCACTGATATGATATTTTCCTGATGCAAACTCAATCGAAATTGCATTTGGAACAAAAATTCAACGATGAGCGATGAAATGGGGAAAATACGGTAACCAGTGGCGTCATACGCTTGGGCGCTGACGGGGGACGGAGCGCCAGGTCCCCAGGCACTAGGGGCCCCGACATTGTAGTTTAAAAAAAAAAATAATAATAAATTGCTTAACTTGTACGTAGCCTAAATAAAAATCCCCAGATATTTTAAAATAATAATGATAATTTTTATTAGTACACAAAACAAAATATCCAGATAGATGTTAAAAAAATAAATACAATATGAAAGAAACAAATTTATAACAAACTAAATATATTTAGCTAATTAAAAATAGGCCTATCTCAAAGTAGTATCTTAAAGCCATTGAAAATATATTAACAAAGTTATTAAATGGTAACAAAATATAATTTTTTTTTTTTTTGAAAATTCTGTCTTAAATTATTATAGGCCATATTAAAGTTATTAAACATTTAATGTCAACTGTATTGACATTAAATGTTTAATATTTAATGTCAACTGTATTGTTTAGTCTTATTTGGGTTTTTTTTAAATAATTTTTGTTTTTGTTTTGGATTGCTTTCACCTCAAACATTCTGATGTTAAATATTGCCATTAAAGCATAGGCCTAATTTTAATGGCAATATGTATACATATATAGGCCTACACACCATTCTAGCATCACCGTCGTCAATATCAGCATAATCATTATTATCGTTACTGTATCATCATCATTATCATCAGCTTCTTCATTAACATTATCAATATTATTTAATAACATTTATTGTTGTAATAATATTTATTACAATTAGTATTATCATATCATCCGTATTATCATCATCGCTGTCTGTATATTGTTATTATTCTTATTTTCATTTCGGACGAACATGCATATATCGTAAATGATCTATTGCACGCCATCATTAAACAGATGATCCTCTTCACTGCTGTTAATGTCTCCTTCACCTATATATGTATATGAGACAGTATATATATATATATATATTGAAGAAAGTTAGCCGTTAACACTGCTGAATAAATATAATATAGATCATCATCACAGCAAGTTCTTCAAACACAATAACATGTTTATTCATCGTGCTGCTGTGTAAACCATTTCAACTGCACTGCAGCAACAATCCGCACGCATCTTACTACGGGCACAACTATACTGACCATATTGCTATAGCAACCAATGACCACTACAACATTTTGATTGTAAAACTAACATCAAAAGACGGCAATTGGCTTACAAATCAATTAGAATAGTGGTTATATATAATACACTTGAGGAAATTATTTATACTTAGTTAGATTAATGCGTGAAAAAAGAATTTTTTTCTGGCAATAATCTAACTTTCGTATAAATAATTTCTCACTAGTGTATGATGCGCAACTATGCCTATTCTAATTTGCTAATTTTCAATCTATAGCATAGGCCTATGAGGCTTTTTCATAAAACTTTATAGTTAATTTTACTATAGTTAGACGTTACCCACTTCTTGTAGTTAACTTCTTTATTATATTTTTATCTTTACATACATGTGTACATGTATGTATACAATACAGTAAATTAGTCTTACAACACCAGAATTCGTGACAACCTTCACCCTCCTCTACCCAAATTTACTTTTTTTTTTTTTTTTTTTTGGCGAATAAAGAATACGAATTGAAATAATATTAATTTTATAATAATAATAATAATAATAATAATAATAATAATAATAATAATAATAATAATAATAATAATAATAATAAATTGTAATATATCATCTTTGTTTTAATACTTACCCAATCTTGTTGTTGATTGCAGTAATGTTATTACGACCTTACCTCGGAGAGTTGTTATCGAGAGAACAGATATTATCTTGCCATCAATAGACTTAATTTCTAAAGAAAATGATATAAACATTTAATATAAATACTTATAAAATAAACCAATGAAGTTACACCGGGTTTGGATCTGAATTAATGTCAAAGATACGAGTTGTAAATATATACATCAACATCATATATACATCAACATCATAAAAATATACTGTCCCACAGTGTGCTAATATCGCAGTGAGTTATGGTGTGCTAAGTAAGATATCTTATTTTATATGACCTTATGTTGATGAACTTCAGAATGAACTATAAAGCATTATCTCTTGAAGTTAGGCAAATGAAATGCCTGAAAATAAACTTAACTCAAATTTAAACAAATGTAAAGTTATGCATATTATCAGATCCCCCTTAAAATTCACTTACACCCTTGAAAATCGCATTCTAATTCAGTTATATTTTATAAATACCCTAGAATAATTATTTCCATTGAGCTAGGCATGGTGTTTCCAGTGCTTCTGCCTGGATTTGTCAAAAGAATAGTTTGAAAGGCATAAGGTTACTATACCTACATGACGGTGTAGGCCCATCTGGCTCTGTATCGTACCTTACTAAACACGTTGTATCCTTTATGGTTGGCCTACCAGCGTAATCATTTCTATTTATATATTTATCTCCCCCCCCCCTCTTCTTAATCCGCATTTTTGTTATTTATATCCTACTTTATATTGTATGTTTCAACTTAAGTTTATTATGTGTGTGGAAAAACAATAAACAAACAAACAAAACAAACCATTAATATTTTTGGAGAGGGAACATCACATCCTTTTTGGTGAACGTTCCTTCTTTTTTTATTATTCGCATATTAGGTGTTTGCATCTTAAGTTAATTGCTAAAGGTCTGTTCAGAATATGGTTTAGTACTATTGTAAACATTACCTGTGTTAACAGATTTAACGAAGCTAATAGTCTTGCTGATAGATCTTCCAACCTCTGAAAGGAGTAATTAACAATATATACATACATACATACATATATATCTGTCTCTCATACACATCTAGATGTGTATAAGAGACAGCCCCAATTTATGTCACTGATTGCATTTTTAAAACTTCAGAATCCTACTATGCGACCTCTCTGGTCATCAATTTATATAAAAGGGTATCGTGTATTATAATACCATATTTATTCTAATAAACGCCCTAGATGTGTATAAGAGACAGTATATATACAGTCCCCTAATCTTTTCCGAGTAGTGTACTAAGTTCTTTAACTGCACACAGGCCACGGGACAAACGGCTTAAATGTCTCATCCGAAAGCGCTATCGTAAATGGCATTCAGTCACGAGCAGCAATGGAAATTGAACCGGGGACCAGGAGATCTCCAAGGTTCAGCGCACACACAGTGGCTCCTGATGCGGGTTCGCTTCCCACCAGAGATCTCTTTTTTTTTACAACTACAATAAGGACCTTTCGTTAATGATCTATGTTTGAAACAATTTATAACATCATGTTCCTATTCGAGCACTGTATTATCATACATTTGGATTTATAAATTATTTGTATTCCCAGTGCTAAGCAGCAAATGCTTCCATCTCAAGTATGCTGATGAAACTTATTTTAATTGGTCTGATATCTGAAGATGATATGGCCGATTTTAGAACCAATGTAGATTCTTTTGTTAAATTATGCAAAAAAAAAAATTATCTTCTACTTAATGTAAATAAAATAAAATAATAAAATAAATAAAAATGAGGGAATTGACATTCATCATTGGAAACGCAACAAATGAATTCCTGGAAATAACGAAAATATTGAATTGTAAATAATCATAATACTTGGGTTCAAACGATTTCAACAAAGGAATTAAACAAGTGGAAAAGAAAATAATCGGACCTGCAATATACAATAATTAATTTAATTTAGCTAATTCTTTTGACTTACAAATTTCGTACGAAATATGATTACAACTCTAAAAGTGCATAGCCAAGAACAAGTAAAAGATCGCGAAATTTGCGACGCTAAACGTGAGAGACCTTAACTAATTCCTCCATGGCCTCCAAGCCCAAAAAGCTTAACAGCTTAGCAGACCTATGGTATTAAAACAGCCATTCCAAGAAACAAACATAGACCATGACGGAGTCATTACGAACATTTTGTTTCTTTTAGTTACTGTACTGTTCATTCTGTTTAAAAGTCTACGGTCCCTGTTTTTTGTTTGTTTTGTTTGTTTACAATTGTTTACAAAAGTAGGGTACGTCATGCAAAGGTTATTAGGATTTGTGTTTTGATTAGTGAAAGATAGGGGCAACGCTCCATTTTTATTTGAAATGTTACTTTTTCTTTTATAAATGAACACATTATAAGAAGGGAACAAAAGGGGACAAAATTGCAAAAACCCACACCTTGGTCACATGTCATAAAAACCGCTGTTCGCAGATAATTTATTTCTCTTTCAATTCCTCAAATCATTAATATTTCTATTTGCTTTAATAAATAAATACTTGCTCTAAAAGTCACTATAAATGCCACATTTAATCTTTGACAAACAGGGGAAAATCAGGTAAAATGGAATACTTACTTATCATCACACTGATTGAGCCATCAGAAGTCTTTTTGAACTCTAAGACTACCTTATCAATCCTTTTTGCTGCCGCCATATGAATTTTAAGACTGTCTGTGTACTTCTGCTGAACTTCTTTGAGATATTCAAACGTTACATTGTCCTTTTTAATCAATGCATTGGCTTCTTTGGTTCCCTGACTCGATAAAATCAAAGATGCGATAAAGGCTCCACCACTTGCAACTCCACCAATAGCCCCTACACTAGCTCCAACTAATGTAATTATGCCTAGTGGTGTAGTATACACAGACAGCAAACCTAAAATCCCTACAGAGAGACACGCAAGCCCACCGGCGGTTGATGTTGAAGCACTGACTATCCGGACAATGTGCGTATTTCTTTTGTGTTTCCTTATTTTAACAGCGATTTCTTGTAACTGGTTTACTAATTTCTCTCGAGCGCTACGCCATTCCGTGATAGCAATTTCCATTACCTTTATATCAATCTCGCTCTGTTTTACACTATTTAAATACCTTAACGCATCATCGTCCCTCTTTTGATTGTCTACATGACGAATATTTGACAGCAGGGGCAACGCTGGAACAACAGTGTTAATTGTTTCAAATTTTATTCTGTAAAAATTATTAAATATTTCATATTTCTTCTTCTTCTTATTATTATTATTATTATTATTATTATTATTATTATTATTATTATTATTATTATTATTATTATTATTATTATTATTGGACTTATTCGGTGTACACTAAGTATAGCCCACGAAAGTCTAGAAGAAGACTTATTTCCAGTGGGTTCCTTCTGGTGGTGATTGGGCAGTACACCAGGAGACAATCCCCTACCCTTTTCCGAAGAGTGTACTACATTCTTTAACGTGCACATGAGGCATAAATGCACACGGGACCAACGGCTTAAACGTCTCATCCGAAGGCCGGCGCGCTAATGTACGGTAACTTGTATTTCAGCCCTCCAGCTGAAACACAAGGAGAGGCAGCGATAGGAATTGAACCGGGGACCTAGAGATCTCCACGGTTCAACGCACACACAGTGGCTACTGTGTTGTTGTTGTTGTTAATATTATTATTATTATTATTATTATTATTATTATTATTATTATTTTTATTATTATTATTAGTATTATTATTATTATTATTAGTATTATTATTATTGTTATTATTATTATTATTATTATCATTATTATATCATTATTATTGTTATTATCATTGTTATTATCATCACTATCATTAATGTTACATTATCAATATCAAAATACTTACACGTCATTAATTCTACCAGTTATTTTACATTCAATTCTATTTATCTTGGTGAACTTACTTCCAAATACCATCTGCGCTGCATTCAATTAATTTCACTGGCAGTTCACATCCCGTGGATCCTACCGTGTTAACTGTTTCTAGCCACCTAATCACGTCATCATTATCACCAGATTTTTCAATCATCCTTTGAATGAATCGTAATGTAGACGCATCATCGATTGCCAGGTCCATTTTGATTGTTCTTACCGTCGCCATTTCTGTTATTGTGACGTGCATGATACAATAAGTTATAGGGATAATAATATAATAATATAATATTACTGTATTCCAGTACTTACTTCATTAATATTATACTTTAAATATTATATAATAAATATCATAACAAATTGAGAACAAATATTGATGTAAAAATACAGCTAAATGTAAGAATCTTTGTAGAGAATGCACTCACACAAGCAATGTAATAATACTGAAGTGCCTAGATGTAACCTGTGTAACTTTAATATAAAAACGTTAAATTCTAAAAATCAAATTAACAAACATAGGTATAGATTCTCATATCCCAATAACTGTAGTTGTGGTTATACAAATTAACACATTAGGAGGAAGTTCAAGGAGAGTTCACTTTCACCTCAGCCCCAGCTTGTTTAAAGCTTTTACCTCAACCCAATGATAGATATGAGGCTGAGATAAAAACAAAACATAATGATGTGTCAAATCTAGATACCTGGAATGGCACTGTCAGACTAATAAAATGGTTTACAAAATGTTTTAATTTGACAGAATCCCCCACCCCCCGGACTTCTAACCTAGCTGGATCTAGGCTTCTAGTTACCATACCTAATGCTTTCATAGGCAAGGCCGGCCCTCCCTTGAATCCGGGTCGATTTGGCTCAGGTCTATATATGGCTATTCTTCAGCCATGCCATAGAATAGTTTGAAGATTGAAGTTTAAGTTAGGGTCAAGTCCACCAATCAGAACCTTTAATTTACGTAAACGTCGGGAGAATGTCCACGGGCTATTTTTTGTTTTTTTGTTTTTTTTTGTTACATATTACTACTACTAAAATATATAGCCTTACATGCATCCACATTCTCGATTCAAGGAAAATATTTCTCATGCCCAACCAGGCTAGGCACTAGGCCTATTTATGCAGTATTCTCGCGTACAAGAGTGTACTCCAATGTAGTAGGCCTGTACCTACGACGACTATTCAGCAGAGACACTTTAACTAAAGAGTATCTAAAAAGAGGTCCGATAGAAAAATAATGGCATGTATCCATAACATCCACAATGATTTCCTTCTCAACTTCCCATAACATTCAACTATACTATACATCTCCCACCTTTACCCACTCATTTAACACCGTGCGGAGCACGGGTATATACTAGTCTATATAAATTTCTTAATTATCAGCATTTTCTGAACTTTCACACGCACGTTTTTATTGTTTGTTGTTTGTTTAAGCACTTACCATTTTTTTCGAGCATAGCATGAATTTCAGAAATTTCTGGCATAAATTCTTCCACACACTGACTCATCCATTCTTCCTCAAATCTAAAGTCCTCTTTATCTTCAATCAAAACTATCAAATCTGAATGCGCATCCGCAATTGATACAAATATTGTATGCAATTCCTGAAGTCTTTCCTGGGCTTCTGCCTCTGGGTAATCCTGCTGTGCCACCAGACATTTCAAGGCTCGTATATTTTTGGTCAGAATGTCCTTTCTCATTCTTCTTATGGTTTTGTTTGCCTTTATTTCTTCAGCCATGCGTCCACTGGTTTCCGTTTCTGGAAAATCAAATAGAATTTACTAGAAAAGGTACCGTACTCGAACACACAATGAAGCAAATAGTGCCTAAAAATGTAACGCATGAGTTGAATTCTAATTAAAAAATGTCATTTCGAGTAAAATAGCGATTAATTTCTCATATGCTATTCTTCATATTATGGCTGTGCAAATTAATACTATCTTATTTGATTCATTCCATTTATAATATCAATAACCACCGTTTCTTGTAAAAGCTGATTATCGAGTAGATATGGAAAGGTTGTCCAGTTGCTCCGCAAGGTCGCATTTTCCGCCTTAACCATTGGAGAAAATAATTTTTTTTTTAAAGTACGTTTATGTGTTAAAAATCATTCCTGTAACAAACTGTTGCGCCTTGAGCACTTTCTAAGTGGATATAAGTCATATTTTTTTTAATTAATATTATTAAACTGTGAAAATAAAATTGAATATTTGGTGTAGTTTAACACCTCCTTCTGCTGCTTTAAATAGGAAATTACAAGCTGGCTTCAAACTTGTCTCTCTGCCTCCCAAGCGCGAACCGTTTCGAAACTGCCAAACGGATCTCTTGAAGCAAATTTGCTAAAGCAAAAGCAAAGCTCGTATCTAATCGATATAAACTTAATATGATTGAGTAGTTTTACCGGACAAAAAAGGAAAATGTAAAGTCCTTTCAAACATCTTTCGGCTTTACATGTTGCTGATTGTGAAATAGGCCTATGTGATTATGATATAAATGCAATGCATACGTGTTCAAGACAAGTTTTATAGAAAATTTATTTTTTACTGAGTAATGATGCATTTTGTTAGTATGAAATTCCACACATGAACAATCAAATCAATGCAGTATGGCGATCTGACCTCAATCAGCAGCTAGTTGGGGTGAAAATGGGGAAAACGGGACAAACCCTGTCCATATGCACTGCAGTGTAAATTGGAAAGACAATCCAAATGTTTAAAAAATTGTCAAAACGATGGGAGAACTTTAATTAATCAGCCTTAAGTAAAATTAAACAAAAGCTTAACTAGAATCAACTTTTGGAATGAATAAATTATTGATCATTGATCCAACAAGAGCACACCCAAATTAATGTACTTAATATCAGCTGCTCTAATTGGCGATCATTTATCCCCACCGGGGTGTGCTGAGCCTGAATAAGCCTTCTTCCTACCCTGAAAAATCTCCGCAACTGGGTAAATGAACACAGATCTTTGTAAGCAATGTCATAAAAAAGGAGACGCATGCACGTTCTCAAGTGTCAAGTTGGAGGAACGACTCAATCATGTTTCGTAATTAGGTTTATAAAAGTATAGAAAAGTCGATTGACTATACTCTGATGTTCCAGGTCACACTGCAGCTTAAAGAAGTAGAGGGCTGATAACCCATGACAATGAAATGAGACTATGCAATATAATTAAATTTATACGGAATGTAAAATCAATTACTATAAAAGAAATTGTCCGAAATAGCAGTAATCACAAGTTAACCATTTAATGCCAGGAATAATCCGCCTTCATTTTGAAGTCTCTGGATTTAACCAAAGTTGCTAAAGACTACGAAGATCCCAGTCTTAAATGTGGTCTTTAACTGGAGGGGCAGTTATGCATTTAACCTAGAGTACAGGTGGATAAATTGCGGCCTTTGGGCTAGATTCCGCCCAATGGCAATTTTTGTTGAGCCTCGCGGAAATAAATGAAAGTGCATGGTCAAGTATTTCACAACAGTAGCAGCCAAAAAACTTCCCAAAAAACAACCAAAAAGCCAAAAGGCTCCCTCTTTTTCTTCTAGAAGGCTTAAAGGCTTCGGCCAAGTAGCTCGTTTTTGTGCTGTAATGGTTTTTTACAGTATTATTTTAAAAGTTGTTTTTACTTAGAATTATATCAGATACTCACCACAGACAGTGCAGTGATACAGGTTCAAGTGTTTCATTAGTCTGGACCCGCTCTCCACTCTGCTCGTTCTCAACTAACTCTTTACTTCTAGATATCCCCCCAAAAATCGTTTGGGCTAAATTAATTCAATATTTTTAGCCAATCAAGTGGCCTGTTTCATTATAACAATTTGTAATGATCTTGACACCCTTTTCTTCACAATATTTTCAGACATTTATATTTTGTTTTTATTAAACTCTGTATGAAAATTAGCGTAAATTTACTTTTTCAAATTCATTTTTTAAACTTTTGTTTAGATAAGTACATGTTTACGATAGTGTATCTCCACAACTCATAATAATAATATTGACTTGAAAGTTACTCCAAATATAGCGTACCGGTATGTGATCTAGTTAACGCCACGTTATATTGTGGGGTGTGCGGCAGAACTTTTGGAAAATAATAATCATTCTCTATTTGGTAAACTCTCAGTAAAAAGTCATTCTCTCAGTAAAAAGTCCAGGAGTGCGTATGTCGCTGTGTGTATGCTATGGAGGCCTATTTACATCCAAGCAGTGGCGTATTCAGCAAGTGCGCAGAGGGGCTCACACCCTTAAAAACGCTAATGCACCTCAACCTTCCGATCTTGGAAATTTTCGAATAAAAAATATTACTCTTAATTAGTTGAAATCACTAGCACTCCCACACCATCTTAAGTTATCTTTAAGCCCTTCCACTTCACCTTCGCATCCTTCCCCCACCCCATTAGCCACCAAATTTCAATACCCATAGGTACGTCACTGCGTCTCAGGAAATCATTATCGATGACTGTTAATATCCTACCTTGCTTTGTGTAAGTGTAAATATTTGTAAGACAACGGTCTTTCTGAACTAAGAAATGTGTCTTGACTACTGAGTAAAAATCATATCAACTTTATATTTATGTTTGTCTATTTCATGAAAATCATTCATGTTTAGTTTTGTTATTCATGTTATGCACCGCAGTTCTCTTTCACTTTCAATTCCATACAAAGGCCTAACAGTTATTGGAAATGACATTACCGGGATCGTCTTCCGATTTTACTATTTTAATTGTGTTGTATACCAATTTCTAGTTTATGTTTTTTTTTTCTGTTTGTCTGTGGCAATATCCATACCGGTACTAGATGACAATAATGACATGTTTTTTTCGTAATTTCATTGCTGGAATGAAAAGCAAATTGTGAAAAATGTCTGTATTACCACCTCACATGAGTACTTTAAAACAACATAATAATAATTATGTCTGCAAAATAATAATAATGGTAATAATAACAATAATGAATACACATTTACTGATGTCAGTTTTTCTGATGAAATTAGGTTTCAGGAACCTGATCTTATCAATATATTTGTGTATATTGTTTTACAGTGCTACGTAGCAAAACTTAGTTTGAATATTATTTACTATGATTTTTTTTTTTTTTTTTATGAACTTCCTCTAAGTTTCTAGCTTATGCTCCACTGTGTGCGAGCGTTTCAGTCAGTTGTGTGAGAGAAAGTGCCTGGGGATTGAATCTGCGCGTACAGACCTACCCCATAAGTCTCCGTAGTCTAATGGTTATGATACTCACCTTAATAGCGAAAAGTTGTTCGAATCCCACCAGACTCCTTTTTTTCATGCAACTGAATAAAGGAACCTTTCTTTGAAGGGTTATGCTCAATAAAATTATAACATTTATTTTATTTTTTCGAACATTGTATTTATTTTTTATCCATTTGTTTATATTGTGTTTACGGTGCTACACAGAAAACTTTAATTGAAAATTATTTACTATGATTTCGAAGCTGGGACCTAAAAGCTTTATAGTTTAACCATATATAACTCCACCCTATTTGTGAGCGTTTCAGTCAGTCGTATGAAAGAAAACAACAACAACAACAACAACAACAATAATAATAATAATAATAATAATAATAATAATAATAATATTAATAATATTAATAATAATAATAATAATAATAATAATAATAATAATAATATTAATAATAATAATAATAATAATAATAATAATAAGAATAAGAATATACAATTTGTAAAGCGCTCAAATCCATTTGAAGAAATGCTCAAGACGCTTGAGAAAATAAAGAGCGGAAAAAGAAAAATTCAGAAAAGAAGCCAGTAAATATTCTAACAAATTAACCCGAAGCAAAGAAACTAGTATTACAGCTCTGTTTACCAGTATAGTTTGAAGCTTCAATGAGTATAGTAAATAATTGAAAATTATTTACTATGATTTCCAAGCTGGGACCTAAAAGCTTTATAGCTTAACCATATATAACTCCACCCTATTTGTGAGCGTTTCAGTCAGTCGTATGAAAGAAAACAACAATAACAATAACAACAACAACAACAATAATAATAACAATAACAATAACAATAACAATAATAATAATAATAATAATAATAATAATAATAATAATAATAATAATAATAATAATAATAATAATAATAATAATAATATACGATTTGTAAAGCGCTCAAATCCATTTGAAGAAATGCTCAAGACGCTTGAGAAAATAAAGAGAGGAAAAAGAAAAATTCGGAAAAAGAAGCCAGTAAATATCCTAACAAATTAACCCGAAGCAGAGAAACTAGTATTACAGCTCTGTTTACCAGTATAGTTTGAAGCTTCAATGAGGACTCACTAGTTCGTGACTCACAGGAGCTCAAATAACGCAAGTATCAACTAGCCTATTATCCTACAAAAAAGCATGATGTGTTTGTTAATATTTCTGTATACCATTTATGACTCGGGCAGCTGTACTGTATTATGTATAAATTAAAGGCGATGAATAAGTGATTTTGAGATTCCAAAAAGAAGAGAAAAAAAAAAACCGAGACGTAACAAAGTCATGGAACAATCTGCCCCATAGCCGATCTGGTATACCCTATGAGATCTCTGTGGTCTTATGGTATGATCACCTTGATAGCGTGAGGTTGCAGGTTCAAATCCCACCAGTTTTCCACATGGTTTGGAGATAATGAAATTATGTGGTATTGGGTACGGTATTGTGTTAAAAAAACCGACCCAAATATATTCACGAACAAAAGACTAATAGGCCTAACCATCATACAAATATGA